CAACCAAAATATGGGTGCAGTCGTCTCACTGATGGCCTTCCGGACAATGTTCGGATCCTTGTTCAGAATATAATGCTGCAATGCGACCAAAAGAGAGCGAAGAATTTTCTAAAGTACTCAGTCAGTTAGTCAAAGAGAAGTTGGATGCACGTCCATCGCACAGCATCTACCTTTGTTATGACGGACATATCGTTGCTCAGACTGCCGTGCCACAGATCGACGATCTTAAATTTGAACATAATAAAGTAGCAAGGCATACAGCAAAATAACATTCATCGCATTCGCTAACCTGATCCTGATATTCCGACATTATGGTCGCTAACGTGTCTCGACGTTCCGAATCTTTCCGGAAAAGAAAGAATTTGCTGTGGACATCCCCAGCGTGAGAAACCCCCATGCCTTCAGCAGAATTCCCAGAGTCATCAATGCCTATTTCATTCAGCGACAGATAAGATGCTCGAACGTTGTCAGAACTGGCACTAGAAACCGTCAAACGTTAGATAGCGAAGGCGAAAAGATAATCATCGAAAATCTCAGACAAAACACAGGTTTTGACAAATCCATCCCTTGCTATCGGCAGGAGTACTTCGTCAAACTAACAAAAGACGTGTTTTTAGAGATACGCACTGTTTTGTATCAATGTTTCACAAATGCCTACTGCACTTAAAATGAAAATTTTTATCTACATGTATCGAGTTTAGTACGAAAGACGAGGATGCGTGACGGTTGCTAATTCTGTAACAAAACCTGCGTGATCTTGCATCCCAAGATAGAGCATTACCTGCAGGTTAAGTCAGACGTTAGTGTGTAGCTTAGGTGCTTCCCATCTGAACAACCAGCCTTGATACCATGCTGATGGCTTGAAGTGGGATATTCTCACCTATCTGAATTCAAAAAAGGTTTATAACCTTCAATTCACAACTAATCCATTGATCCACTGGAACTACATCTGAAAAACATAATACTCACAAAATTGATTTTATTAAGAATTTGCAGTCTTCACTGTCGGTAAAAACGTATGATAGAAAACAATTACGTAAACAGAAACTAGTTTAAATTTGGGATTTGCAACATCGTTCATTCTCGAGCCACCAACTAAGTCTAATTACACAGTGTCTGACATGAGGAACATATGGAAAAAATACTACAACACTTTGCATTCAAAGAAAAAAGCGCAAGCATAACGTAGCATGTAAATTGTAAACGCTGCACCTAATGCTACGACAGAGTCGCAGGAGACGGAAAGCACCGTAGCCATTTCAAGCACAGAATCTAAGATGATCAGCGTCATCGGCCGCTACCATTTTCTTGGCTGGTTAAATCAAAGCTGAATTCAATTCATCAGCGCAATTTACAGTAAACAGGAAAATCTGTGGTGTCTGGATTTTAAATCTTTCGTTCAGTACATTAAATAAAGAAATAAATTAACTATATCTCTACTGCGTAAGTTGCACTATTTCTACCAATGCTATTCATACATACGAAAACAGGCGGTGGCAGCTGATCATATATCACATCTTA